TTGTTTGGTTCACGCTCGGCTGGTCCTGCCATTCTTTGCCTTTCCTCACATGACGTGCAGGTGTGTATGGGAACCCTCGGCCGCCGGCTCCTAATTAGTGGCATAGAGTGTGACCCCCCGCCGGGCTTTTCACGGGCTGGGACAGGCCGGTGGGGTTGACAGCGCGGCACAAAGTGACACATGGCACAATGGGCAGGTTGCGGAGGGGGAAAGCGGTCACTTAGGGATTGTCGGAAAAGTCCCAGGATGGCCCTGGGCTGCTGTGCTTGTCACCCGGTGCAGGATGAGGCCGTCGGGTGATGCCGGAGCTTGGCTCTGGGAGGTGCGTCCAGGCGGATCCTGCCATGCCCGGAGGATCGGTCACCACCACGGCTCCGGCGCCAGGCAGGGCTGAGCGGGATTTTGAGCTCAAAGTTGCCATCGGGGCCAGATTTGTGCCCCGTCGCCGGAGCTGGGCTGCGGCACCTTGAGCGTCAGCTGGGCCCAGCATTTTGGTTAAAAACCAGGCTTGCGGGTGCTGAAATGGTGAGCGGCATCCAGGAGGGAAGTGGGACGCATCCAGCCTGGTCCAGAGCAGCCCACGGCCACCCCATGCCTTGTGCTCAGCACACCCAGAACCCTCTGCCCCACGGGTGCCTGTTGCCGTGGGGTGCTGGGTGTGAGCTGGGGGATGCCGGAGACCCGTCCTGGTGCCGCCTGGGCTGGGGGGGAGAGGTCTGGGGGGGTTGGGGGCTATTTGAGGCCCGTTTCTGTGCTCCAGCTTGGCTCCCTTCAGCCCGCTCCATCCCGTGCTTCAGCCTGCACCTGGGGCTGGAGACGGGAGAGGCCGTCGGAGGCTGCGGCGGCTGCGTGCGACCCCCGGCTCTGTGATTTGGGGTAGGGGATGTGCAAAGCTGCTCGGGCGCTGAGCGGGGATGAGCATCGCCCGCTGCGCGCCCCATCCTAGAGGCCAAGCTGACCATCAGCGGGCAGGCGCCAAATTTATCCAAAATCAGCCTCGATCACTTCTGCGGAGAAGGTAATACCCTCGGCAGTTTTCCGCCAGCCTCCACGCCGTGGCCGGGGCTGGAGGAGGCCGGAGCCGGGGCTGCATCCATCCCCTCGCCGGAGGTCCGGAGCACTTTGGAGCAGAGCCCTAAGGCGTGTGTCGGGGCCGGGGGATGCCCGGGCAGGGGCAGGGGGCCGGGGCGAGCAGGGCGGGTGCGTGGGAGCAATTAGCGGCGGGTGTAGTT